CAACCTTGTGCCCCTCTTCTCCTCTATAATCCATTCCTACAGAAGTCAGGTTGATCTTTTCCAGTTACGTCAGATGGTGGGAGTCCCCTGCTCAAGACAGAGCCTACTATCATACTCAGAATAAATCTCAAATTCCTTCCCCTCTTTTACTGGCTTGCAGGGAATCTCAAACCTGGGTCTGCATAAAAATCACCAGGGGAGCTTTTTAAAACACAGATTCCTGGGTCTCAACCCCAGAGTTCCTGAGTCAGTAGATCTAGGGTGGGTGGGGGCTGTCGGTCTGCATTTCCAGCAAGTTCCTAGCAGGGACACATTGCAAACCACTGCCCTGCCATCCCTCCTGTCTCCACCCTTGGCTGGCTCCAGACACCAAGCTTTGGCCTGCCATAGGGCCTCTCGCTCTCAGACTCCCTCAGGCCCCCAGCTCTTAGCAGAATGGGCTCCTTCTCGTCAGTTTGTTCTCAGCTCAAATGATGCCTTCCCTGACCAAGAGTCAAAGCATGCCCTCCTCCCTCTACCACTTTTGTGCATATCCTCCCCTGTTATTTCTTCAGAGCAATTCCTACAATCTGAAATATGCTAATGTAGTACCCATCCCTGCCCCACCCCCTCTTGAGCGTACTATAGATACTTGTGTGTCTTATTTGGGCTTGGCATGTTATAAATATTCTGGAAGAGGTCACTGGATGAATGAAAGGGTGTAGGGAACAAGGACAGAGAAAGGGGAGAAGCCTCGTTAGAAAAAAGGAAACACGTTTGGAGACCGGGAAGGAGAGAAACAGGGAACAGCCAGGGGCCCAAGCTCTAACGTCACTCAGTGTCCCTTCCCTTCCTGTGCTCACTCCACCTGCTTATGAAGCCAGCCTCGGATGTGCACCGGGAGGTTGGGATCCCTTCGGAGAGCATTGCCTCTCTTCCCGAAGGCGTGCACCTTGCTTACTGCCCTGGTAGGCTTCTGAGGAGAAGGAGGACAGAAATTAACAGGATGGTCTTGGGTGCTGTGGGATGCAGGCAGCCCAAGGCCCTGGCTCGGCTGCCCTTAGACACCAAGCCAAGGAGGGAACTGAATTTTGAGATCAGAACTGGATGTGCATGGGGGCGCCTGGGTGGCTCAGTTGGTTAAACGGCTGCCTTCAGCTCAGGTCGTGATCCCAGGGATGGAGCCCCGCATCGCATCGGGCTCCCCGCTCACTGGGGAGCCTGCTTCTCCCTCTCCCTCTGCCTGCCCCTCTGCCTACTTGTGTTCTCTCTCTGTGTGTCAAATAAATAAATAATCTTAAAAAAAAAAAAGAAGAAGAAGAACTGACGTGCATGGAGTCCAGTGGGACTGTTCCTCTGGTTGAATTAGGAAAATCCGAGGGGTGGGGACAGCTGGGAGTGCCTCTGAATTCCTAGCTGGAGCTGTTGGGCACTTTGGGACCTTACTAGGTGTGGCAGAGCCCATCGCTAAGGGTCCTTGCCCTTAACAACGGGAATCCTTTGGATTGGCACGGAACCCAGGGCTGGGAAACAGGAGGATGGGGCAGTCCAGAGCCCTGCCCTCCTCCCCAGCCCCTCCAAGAACCTCGAACCTTGGTGCTCAGGCTGCCCAGTGAGGAGATGGTGGAGGCGCTGCTGGCCAGGCTGAGGCTGCTCCGAAGTCTGCCCTCCTCCATCAAGGGCTTAGGGAGAGAAAGAAAGGGTCTGTGTGCCTGTCTCTGCAGCTGACCCGGCTGGGGACAGAGACGGGGTCAGGGGCTCGCAGGTCGGAGGAGGCTGAGGAGAAAGAGTCCGTTGTCTGGGGACTGGGGGGCTGGGGGAGGCCCTGGCCCGGGACTGCATACCCGAGAGTGATGCCAAGAGAGGTGGGCGGCCCTGGCAGCTGCGGGGAGGGGGCAGCTGTCTGCAGCCCAAGACAGAGAATAGGGGCTCCTTTATTCTTGCCCCCTGCACTGTAGGCAGGAATTTGACCCTCTCTGTGCTCAGGGAGCCCCCAGTCCCTGCCTCTTCCCGGACGCCCCCAGCTACCTGTCTCCTGCCCTCCACACGCACCCCCAAGCCGTCCCTGCCAAGCTCTGGGATGCCAGGAATGCACACCCAGGCAGTGCCTCCCAGACCAGCCAGGGAACTTACCAGCTCTGGGGTCCCAAGGGCGGGGGCAGGAGGGCCGTGTGAGTGCTGGGGCCCCCAGCTGCAGTGTCCCTCCTTTTCTGGCGGGATGGGGGACGACCTCTCAGACCTGTCTCCCTTCTCACCTGCTCACTCACACGCGTTTTGCTTTTCGTCTCTCCTCTCTTCTGGTCACTCTTCCCTTTCTTTCAGAGCGTCTCTGTCTCTGGCCTCACCTTGTCTCTCAGGCTCTAATCTGTCTCTTCCAGTCGTCTCTCATTCTCTCCCCCGCCCCCCACCCCCCACCCAGCACTTTCCCTTCCAGTCTTTCTGTTTCTGTTCCAGATCTTTTTCGCTCAGACTTACAGAGTCTTTCCTCCCCAGGTTTCCGTCTCGTTCTTGCCCCCTCGCTCTCCCTCACCCTCAAGCTCTTCCTCCTTCTCTCTCTCTGTCCCCACCGACGCTGTTTCCTCCTCTCCCTCAGATTCCCCTTCTGTCTTCCTCCCCTCTCCGATTCTCTTTCCTCCCTGCTGGTCGGCCAGCCGCCCACGCTGCGGTCTCCCCTTCCAATCCCGGCTGACCCCGCCCCTCGTGTCCTCCCCCCACAACACTTCCAAGCCTGACCCCTGGCTCAGCTGCCCCCACCGCTGAGGGGAGGGGCTGGGGCCCCCCCTGACTCCTGGGTCCCTGCTGGGCTGGGATTCCTAACTGTTTGGAGAGGAGGAGCTGGGCCCGGACTCCGGGGTCCGGCCACTGGCACCCTGAAGGGAGGTAGCTGGGGTCCTGGAACTAGAGGGGGTTCGGACTTCTGGGTACCTGACAAGGTGTGAGTCTGGAGTCAGGACTCCTGAGTTGTTAATGGAGCCGGGCATCTGGAAATGTGTTTTTGAGCGGATGGGTCCAGGTTTTCCAAGGAGGAGAGAGTGACCCTGGACTCCTGGATTATGGCTAGGGCAGGGTCAGGTAGCCATGTCAAACATCTACCTCGGATCCGGGTTGAGAATTGTGTTCTAGACTGAGGATGCTGCCCTCCGGAGGGAGACATGGTCCCTGGGCATATTTCAAGGCCAAAATTATGGACCAGGTAGGGGGGAGGGGCGGGGAATTGGTACTGTGTACCTGGTCCTGGAACTTGTGGCAGGAGACCCCACCCCCATGAGGTTCAGTCGATTCTACCCAGCCAGGATTTCAATTTGTGTATGAGCTTTCTTTTCTTTCTTTCTTTCTTTCTTCCTTTCTTCCTTTTTCTTTTCTTTCTTTCTTTCTTCTTTCTTTCTTCTTTCCTTTCTTTCTTTTCTCTTTCTTTCTTCTTTCCTTTCTTTTCTCTTTTTTTTCTTCCTTCCTTTCTTTCTTTCTTTTTTTTAATTTTTATTTATTGGGCGCCTGGGTGGCTCAGTTGGTTAAGCGACTGCCTTCGGCTCAGGTCATGATCCTGGAGTCCCGGAATCGAGTCCCACATCGGGCTCCCTGCTTGGCGGGGAGTCTGCTTCTCCCTCTGACCCTCTTCCCTCTCATGTTCTCTGTCTCTCATTCTCTCTCAAATAAATAAAATCTTTAATTTTTATTTATTTGACACAGAGAGAGAGAGCACAAGCAGGGGGAACAACAGAGGGAGAGGGAGAAGCAGGCTCTCTGCTGAGCAGGGAGCCTGATGTGGGTCTTGATCCCAGGACCCCGGGATCATGACCTGAGCCAAGGCAGATGCTCAACCAACTGAGCCACCCAGGTGCCCCTGTGTATGAGCTTTTGTAGGAGTTTGAAGTGGGTGAAATCCAGGTATGGAGCTTTGTGCTTGAGACCAGGAAGGAGTCTTCAGTTTTCGGTTTCGAGTCCACTCACCCAATATTTGTTGAGCACCTACTATATCCCGGGCACTGAGAAAAAAAGCAGGGAGCAAAACCAAGTGCCTGCCTTCAGGGTGCTTACATTCTTGTTCTCGCCTCAATCTAGACTCTGCTGCGACCACCTCGGGCAAGTGACTTCATTCCCAAGCCTCAGTTTCTCATCTGTGAACATGGACTGTGAAAAAACAATGCTCTCCCCCACCAGGAAGGAAGCGGACCGGCTGTGACGATAGGAGACTCTAGCCTGGGTCCTGCTGATTAAGTCGGGGCGGGAAGCCGGTTTTCCCCCCCTCCCCCAAGAGTCGTTGGGAGAGCGCCCGGGCGGCTGAAGCAGTGCACGCGTTTGATTGACGAGCTCGCGTGTTTCGGGGCGTGGTCGCGCTCGGAAACGCCGCGGTGTAGTGACAAAACCCCCGGAATCTCCGCGAGAATTCCGAGCTTACTTTCCCTTCCCCCAGCCCTGACGCCTTGGTTTCGAAACCCCGCCTCCCCTCGTGATGTCATGACGCGCGGCCGCGTAGGCCTATAAAAGCCTTGCGGGCGGACCCTGTTCCCTGCCTTGCTGTGGATCACTCACGCCAACGAGAAGAAACTCGCCTCCCTTCGCCGCGACGGTGCTTGCAGCAGCAGCTGATAACCTGAGCCCCCGAGCCCGGCACCGGAGGTGGAGATGAACGCGCTGGCCTCCCGAGCCGTCCAGATCTGCGATCGCTGGTGGCAACCCGAGCCGGCGCTCTTGCCCCCCGGGTGACGCGCAGCCCCGAGTCGGTGAGTGAGGGGTCCGAACGCCTGGGCCCCTCAGCAGCTTGGGGGCCGCGGACCAGACTCCTGGTCAGTGAGGAGGGAGTTTGCCCTTCTGGGTACCGAGACAGGAGGGTTTGAGGCCGGGACCCCTGGGTCCTGAGGAACGAGGGTCTGGGAGCCCGGACTCCTGTGTCTGGGCAGAGGTGGGACCAGGACGCACTCCAGGGCTCGGACTTGGGAAGGAGAAGAAATTGGGAGCCTGAGCCTGGCGAGAGGAGGGTTCTGGAAGCCAGACTCATGGATCCCCAGTGGAATGGATGGAACCCCGCGGGGGTCGCAACTTTTGGGTCTCAGGGGTAGGAGGGTGATGAGGGCCTGATTTGTGGATCCTCAGGAAGATGAGAGAAACAGGAGCTAGGACTTTGTCCCCAAGGGAAGCCAGTAGAGGACCTGTATTCTCAGTTCTGGGGGCTTCTGGGTCTGAGAGAAGAGACTGGGGGCTCAGACTCCTGGGTATTGAGAGGAGAGAGGTGGGAACCACACTGTGCCTCTGCTGGAGATGGGAGTGGCAGGGATCAGGCAGGAATGTGGGGCAGGGACTCTCTCGTTGCTATTTGTGTTACTATTTCCGTTGCTATGACTCACAGTCATCCCTTGATGCTCTCCCTTACTTGGCTTCTAAACTCTATTTCCTTTTGTTTATTTCCAACCCAGACAGATGGCACCAGGCCAAGTGCCCCATCAGCCTGCCCCCTGGAGGGATACCTATCCCTTTTTCCTCCTGTCCCCGCTGATGGGCCTTCTCAGCAGGGCCTGGAGCCACCTGAACGGCCCAGGACCTCCAGAACCCTGGCTGTTGGAAGCAGTAACCGGAACTGATCAGGGAGAAGCTGGCCTGGGGGGAGAAGCTAAGACATTTCCGGCCACTTGGCATGCCCCCTGGGGCAGGCACTTTCAAGGGGAGACTGGAGACAGTGGAGCAGCTGAGGAGGATGAAGTGTCCTGGGAGGCCTGCCATGATCTAAAAGCCAACAGTTCTCCTCTTGAAGCCTGGGAGCTTTCAGGGGATGATGAAGAGTATGGTGGGGAACAAGCAACCAGTGTCCCTAAAGAGCAGGGAAGTGAATTTATAGATGGCCAGCCTGCTTCCTTGTCCCCCAGCCTTCTGATAAGAGCCCTGCAAGAACCTCCTGGAGAGGAGAAATCTGAGGAAGGAGGAGCTGCTGAAGATGAAGTGGTCACGTTCTTCTCTTTTCCTCCATCACGCTCACCAGGGGAGGAGGAGGAGGAGGCGGGAGAAGCTATAAACAAAGAAGCTGCCAGAAGCCCTACTGCCCCTTTATCTCCAGGATCCAAGCCCAAAGCTTGGGTGTACTGTGCTGGGGAGGAAGAGGATCAAGCCACAGAGGAAAAAAGAACAGAGAATAAAGAAGTCATAAAGAACTCCGTTTCCCCCTCATTTTCAGGCTTTCACCCCAGGGCCTGGGAGTTTTGCTCAGGAGAGGAATCTGAGGAGGAGGAAGATGAATTCAGTGATTGGGGAGCAGCTGAGGAGGAGGGAGAAGCTGAGGGTCCCTCTTCCATCCCCTCCACAAGTGCCCTCGTGAGGGCCTGGGTGTATCGACCGGGAGAGGACACAGAGGAAGAAGATGAATTCAGTGATTGGGGAGCAGCTGAGGAGGAGGGAGA